ACAACATTAAACAGAGTCAAAGGGTCACATTAGGTTATTTTGTGAGTTGGAGGGCATGTTTGGTTGCTTGACGTGTCACATTAGCACAAAGTAACAGAGATGTTGATCAACGACGAAGAACATCGGTTAAAGGGCTACATCAAATTCTTTTTTCAAGTTGGAGGGTCACATTGATCCAAAAAAAAGCGGTTGGGGCTACATTAGTTTTTTTTAAAGCTGAGGGGCCTTCGATGTTTTTTTTCCTAAAAAAACATTTGCAATTATTCATGATATTATCATTTTGTCTTATATGTTATTTAATATTATTTTTTGTTAAAGAAGTCACATAATTAACCAGAGGTTTTTATGAAAATAAAAAATATTAACATTCTTTAAAAAGAAAAAGCAATAAAAATGAAAAAAAAATTGAAAAAAAAACAAAATTCAATCTAATTTACTCAAAAAGAGAATGTTATAAATAGGAATGTAAATGAGACTAGACTCATCGCGGCCTACTCATATTGATTTGATTAAAGTTTGATTACTACTCGAATCAAATGAACTTGACTTGAATTTTTAATGATATAAAATGAGCTAGTTGATACTTGAATAAAAAGGCTTGCAAACTATTCAAAAATAATAATATATTAAAATTTTAGATTTTTTAAATTCAATTATCAATAACATTAACATTTATATGTTATTTTTTTAAATATAATACTAAATTTTTATGTTCTCAAGTTTTAAGTTTGAGTTCGAGTCAAACTTCAAGTTTTGATTTCGAGCGGAGCTTAAAAATTTTAAGCTCGTGAACTTTCGAGTATAGTTAAACTTGATAATTTTAAACTTGTAAATTTTTAAATTAAATCAAACTTAATTTTAAAATTTTCAAATCAGATCGAACTCAGTAATTCTCAAACTTTAACCGATTAGTTTACGACCCTAGTTATAAATATAAATTCTCGAATAAGTATAACAAAAGAAGATAAAGTCTCTCATGTCATGTGGTGGAAACATGAAGAGAGCCTTATCCAACCAATCAATCAATCCATCCATTCATCCATCTCCCACACTGCACCTTTCTCTTCCACGTGGCACCATCCCATTGCATAACTTTACCCCATCACTACATAAAGCAAAAAGCATCACAATCCACGTGGCTAAACTCAAGGAGGGGCCCCACCATACCGTGTTAATCAGTGACAAATCTCCACACGTGGCATCATAAGAGTCCATCAAAGACGAAACCATAAGGGAAATCCCATCATCATTATTTTCTTCAAAATTTTGTCTGAAAATGGGGAGAGAATTCGAGTACGTAATAGTTTGCGGCGGAGTAGCAGCTGGATATGCAGCACTTGAATTCACAAAGAGAGGGCTCTCCCATGCCCAACTATGCATTATATCTGAAGAACCAGTGAGTTTTATCCCTGATTTAATCATTTTCTAAAGCTATTTGCCTCTTATCTGTGGTGGGTATTTACCTTTTTTTTTCGAATCGATTCTTAAACGATTCGAAAAATTCTGAATTCAATGATATATATCGAGAAAATTTCAGGATGCCCCATATGAGGCCTACTTTAAGCAAAGGCTTTCTGCTTCCTGAATGTAAGAACTGTCTTCTACCTGTATACGTATATGTTTCACTTAGGTAAAATTTCATTAGTTTTATACGAAAGTATAGTTATCGGATGAATTTAAATGGACGGTTAAGATTAAAATATAAATTTTATCGATATTGACTATTGAATTTAACAGTTTTTTTTATCAATTGACGCCACATATCATGTCATAGAAATGTCACGTGATATTTACATAGATTTATCGATTTTTAATAAAATTTTAGAATATTTATAACATTCTTTAAATTTTTTATAAAAAATCTATAAATTTCGTGTGACAGTAATATTTAAAAAAAATCTTAAGATATAACGATTGAAATTTATCAAAGGACTTAATTGATTCAATTTCTCAATTTCATGGCTTAATTGATTAAATTTCTTACTTGAAGGTTCAATTGGGTGCAAATAAATTTTAATAGCTTGATTGATTTTTTTCACCTTTAAGCCAAAATAAAATTATCTATTTTTATGTGAAACTTAGGAAAAAAACGATAATATTAATACGTAGAGTTTTAATCTCAATAGTCCATTTAAAATCATCTAATGATCGGGTAGAATACACAAATGGTCCCCTACTATAGCATACTACTTTATTAAGTCTCTTCACTATTAAAAGTTACAAAATGACTCTCTAGCTATAGAGTGTTACTTTGTTGAGTCCCTCGACTATTAAAAGTTACAAAATGGTCATCTGACTATTCATTATGTTTCAAACTATTTTTTTCCGTTAAAAAATTTATGGTATTCTAAGTTGAACATTAACATGCTGACTATGATATAATAAAATATAATCACAGAATCTCAAATGACTATCATATCCAGTTCTCATGTTAACGTCCAGCTTAGACAACCGCCAATTTTTAATGGAAAAGGATGAATTTGGAACATAATGAATAGTCAAATGACCATTTTATAACTTTTAATATTTGAAGGACTTAATAAAACAACATTCTATAGTCATATGATCGTTTTATAACTTTTGATAGTCGAAGAACTTAATGAAGTAGCATCCTATAGTCGAGGACCGTTTGTATATAAATTTTGTTCGATGTTTATTTCAGCCTAATATTGTATGGATTTTTGTTAATAAAGTTGTGCGTTCATCCACAGCTCCTGCTCGCCTTCCAACGTTTCATACTTGTGTTGGTGCTAATGAGGAATTGTTAACTCCCCAATGGTACGAGGAACATGGTAAACATTTCCTTACAATCCTACAAAACGAACATATTTGTCTGGAAAAAAAATTATAGATCCAGTCATGATTTTTTGTATAATTTAATGATATAGTTTTCGTACTTTAATTCGATATTATTAATGTTATGTCTTACTCTAAATCATTATTCAGGAATCGAATTAATCCTCGAAACTTGAGTTGTATCCGTCGACGTCGGACACAAAACACTATCAACAGCTTCTGGAGAGACCATACATTACCAGACCCTCATCATCGCCACAGGTGCTCAGGTATTCAAACTGATTAAGCTCTCATCATCTAATCGATTTTAGGTATCGATGTGTATGTGTATGTGCATCTATGTTTGTCGAACGGTAGGTTTTGAAGCTCGAAGAATTCAGAGTGAGCGGATCTGAAGCGGGGAACATATGTTATTTACGAGACTTAGCCGACGCAAACCGCCTCGTCAATGTGATACGATCGTGTACCAGCGGAAGTGCTGTGGTCATTGGCGGCGGGTACCTCGCAATGGAGTGTGCTGCATCTTTGGTGAGCAATAAAATGGATGTGACCATGGTTTTCCCCGAAGCTCATTGCAGTGAGTATCTTCGTTTCTTTACCGAACACGGGTTTTTCGAGAAAATACGAATAACCGGGACTTGCTATGTCGTAGTACCTCGTCTGTTTACGCCGAAGATTGCGACATATTATGAAGATTATTATCAATCTAGAGGAGTTAAGTTCATTAGAGGGACTATTCCATCATCATTTGAATTTGATTCCAATGGAAAGGTTAATCATGTATATATGCATTTTCTTACGGTTGTAATCATTTGCCGTGACTAAAAAAAGTTGCAACTCTTTAGGTAACTGCTGTTAATCTTCGAGACGGTAATCGGATACCTGCGGACATGGTTGTTGTCGGAATCGGGATAGGTCCTAACACGAGCCTGTTCAATGGACAATTCACAATGGAGAAAGGTGGGATCAAAGTGAACGGGAAGTTCCAAACAAGTGACAGTTCGGTCTACGCGGTCGGGGATGTTGCAGTGTTTCCTATCGATCTCTATGGCAGAATCCACAGGCTCGAGCATGTGGATTCGGCTCGGAAATCCGCGAAACATGCCATCGCTGCAATCCTCGAACCGGATAAGACGGGCCAGTTCGAGTACCTGCCGTTGTTCTACTCGAAAGCCTTTGCGTTTTTTTGGCGGTTCTACGGGGACAATGCAGGGGAGGCAGTGCATTTCGGGGATTACTCAGGGACTACCTTCGGGGCTTATTGGATAAATAACGGTCGTCTCGTCGGATCATTCCTTGAAGGGGGAACGGAACAAGAGTTCGAAGCAATAGCTAACGCCACTCGGATTAAACCAGCGGTTGACGATCCGGCCGATGTGGGAAGGCAGGGCTCGAGCTTCGCCTTGAATGTAAGTGAGAAAACGAAACCGCAAACCCCGCGGATCGAAGGCGAAACTTGTAGCCTCGTTCTCGAACCGACGGTCTACGCGTGGCATGCGACGGCGGGTGTCGTTTTGGCTGCATCGGTATCAGCATTTGCTTATTGGTATGGAAGGAGACGTAGAAGGTGGTGATGTGCAAATTTTCTTGGCAATCAAACTAGTATACTTTAATTACTTATTTAAAAAGAAAACAATTTAGGTACCTAAATAAAAAAATTAATTAGCAATTTTCATACAATATATATTATTTTAATCCCAAAATAAAATATTGAAGATTAAAATAATTCAAAAAAATAAAACTTATTATCGTCTTCTTCAAAATATCAATTTAACTTGCACCATTAAATTGTTGTAACATCTTAGTGCTTGAGTTTCATTATTATTTAGGATCTAATTTAATTAATAACATTTAAAAAGTGCATGACTTCCCATGCAAATATTTTTTATGTTTGAGGATCACATTAAATGTAAAAAAGAGTCGAGGGTCACATTAATTTTTTTTGAAAAGTATAGAGACATCATATATCCTTTTATCAAAATTATAAAATTTTAGAGATATAAAATTAGATCGTTAATATAAAATATAAAAAATATATAAATTATTCGAAAGTTTGAAATTTTCATTAGTTACTACTACGGTCTTCAACATCCCTTTTGATCCATATCTGATCATTGTAGACTAATATGAATCGATAAAATCTCATATTAAAATTGATCTTAATTAGGACCCCTAAACCAACCAAAAGGGGAGGGGGGAAATCGAAAATTATGGAAACTTTACAGTCCAAAAACAACAATGTACTTCACAATTTTCCTTTTTCTCGGGAACCAAACAGAGAAAAGAAAATATTCAAGTACCGGTGAAAGAAACCCGGCCAAATCCCAAATGCCCGCCTTCATACAACTCTAACCAAACTTTCTCGGCTTCCACCAATCTCGCACTGAAATTCCCCATTTCTTGCTTCCCTTCTCCATCGTTTTCGAACTTTTCTGCCTCCCCAAACACCGTCGGAATTTCCCTCGTTTTCTCGCATTTCCTCTCCATTTCCACCCTGTTTCTCTTCTTCTTCTTCTTCTTATTCTTTTTCCCGAACCCCAAACACCTCCTCCCGATCTTCCACGGGACTTTAACCAATGCGAGCGTCAAGAGATTCAGCAGAGCGCAGGGGCAGCAGCAGAGTGCCACGCAGTCGGCGATTACTCCGGCGGTGCATGATCGGCAATACTTACCGGAACACTCGATTAAATCCTCCGATTTATCGACGGCCGCCACCTCCGCCACCACCACCTCCTCCTCCTCCTTCTTCCTCCTCGTCGTGGGCTCTACCACTCTTCTTCCTTTACGCGATGATGAATTCTCCACCATTGGATCTCTTCACACCTCGCTTGTTTTCAAAATTCTGCAAAAGTTTCATAAATAATTCAAAAAAATCCCTTTGGTTTTCATCATCTCTCTCGAGAAATCTCACTGATCAAATAGAATATTAGTATTATATAAGCCTCTACGTTGTGGACATGAGATCCTTTCTAAAACGTGATAATATAGCTTTTGGTACATACGTTTAATAACATTTTCATATTAGTCCCCCAATTTTTGTATCATTTTTAGTTCCTTTAATGCTTATAGTGTCACAGTTTCATATCATAAAATATACTAAAAAGGATAAACTGTCAAATTTAGGGACTAATGTAGATAAAAAGGTTCAGAGACCAATATTGGAAAATTACAAAGTGAAGGGAGTGAAAGTTGCTTTATCCCATATTATATATATATATAGGGGAAAATATTGAAGTGAGGAAACTGCGGGTTTTTTATTATTATATTTTATTGCATGCATTTTTTGCTGAAGAAATGACGTGAAGAACACGCGCGGAAATTGTTGGTCGCCAGTGCGTGGGAAATACCAATGGGAGTAGGGATGGACAGATCAAATTGGGTTGAATTTTCGGTAAATCAGATTCGAACTCGAAATTAAATGTCATTCACTTAATCCGAAAATTATATATATTTCATTCGACTCAAACTTGATCCGAACCAAAAAATTATGTCCTTCATCCGATCCAAAATTGTACACCATCAACCCGATCCGAACTTGACTGAGATAAAACCTAAACCCGATCCGGCTCAACCCAAAATATATATTTACAAGAAAGTATTATTTTTATTCAATAAAAATAGGGATTTGATTGAAAAATAATATATAAAGGAGTCTTATTGTAATTATCCTTAAATATATAATGTAAAATTATATATTTTTAGATCAAGACGGGTCGGATATATTTCATCTTAACCCCAAACTTAACCCGACCCAAACATAACCTTTAAACAACTCAACCCAACCTAATCAGAAAAGTTTTAAAAAAAATCTAACCCAAATAATATTATATCGGGTCTAAACCCGTTGGGTTTGTCCCGTGTTCATTCCTAAATGGGAGTCCGAGAGTGGGGAGAGTTTATAGGTTGGGCGCGTGGCAGGTTAGATATTTTGATATTTGTTTTTGTTTTTTTAATTCAATTTTCTGAAATTACCTAAACGGCTAAAACTCCCTATTTTGGTAGGTTGACACGACAACCACGGGGAAGCCCCTAAATTACTAAAATACCCTTTTCATTTCCAAAACGGTTATTATATCACGTAATTTGCTTTTAGAAAAATCAGGTATAATAGGCTAATATTACAAATAAGTCCCTAAAATATATCACAATTTTATTTAAGTACATAAAGATTTTTTTTGTCAAAATAAATACTTAAACTTTTCTATTTGGTTAAAATAGGAATCTAAAGTATTTTTTGATTAAAATAAGTATCTAAAGTATTCAACTTTTTTCATCTAAGTATCTAAAGTATTCTTTAATTAATATCATATGTCAACTTTTTTAGAACTTAGATGAAAATTTTGTATATTTAAGTTACCTATTTTGACAAAAAAATTATATATTTATTTTGACCAATTTTTTAATAAAACTAAATTTGTATTTTTCCCTATTTTTAGATTATATTTTAATAAGTTTCTATTATTTTGAATTTAAATGATTTATTTCTCTCAATATATCTTAACTTCATCCCGGATTATAATGAATTATATTTTCTTTATTAATCTAAGGTAGTTACAAGTAGAGGTGGGTATACGGGCTACCCGCCCGTTTAGCCCGCGGCCTTTGACGGTGCGGGCTTAAACGGAGCGGGCTAAAAAACCCGCATTCATAAACGGTTTTGAATTTTAAGGCCCGCGACCCGTCCATTTAACCCGCGGGCTAAACGGGCTTACCTGCGGCCCGTTTAATAAAATAATTTTAAATGCTTTCAATGCAATAAAAATAATGTTTTAACTTACTACACCTTTAAAAATGATCGAGCAACTTGAAAAGGAAGGTAGCACCGTTAAAATAATAAATAATATTTAAAATTTATTTTAAATAGCCGGAAATGATTATAAAATAATATTTTTTTAATTTTTTAATCATTAATATATATATATGATATAATTACTTTAACTCAAAATAAAAAAACAATATTCACTTATATCACCAAATTGAAAAACAAATAAAACAATAATCACATTATACTTTTATAAAACACGATTATTCAAGGCTATAATATGAAGACACAGAAGTGTCTGAAAGTAGAAATTCAAACATAAAAATTCAACAAAGTCAAACATTATACAAATCTAACAAGAAAGTTGTCAAGTGTTCCTAATAATTGTATTTTATGGATACTTTAGAGAAATACTAAAACATAATATGAAAATATAAAATAAAATATTTACAGTATAAGAGTAAATTTGAAAGATACAATTATACTAAAATTGATAAAATATAAGTCATTAATTTGTTAAAATATATTTATTTTGTAAAAGTCTTTAAAAGTTGAAAAGTATGTTTTCAATTTTTTCTTTTACTTTTCTTTCTTATTTTTAATCCAAATATTACGTGTCATGTGATATATTATTAGAATATCATGTGACTTTTTATAATTAAATAACAAAATGGATAACATACTTCATGAAAAAAAATAAAGGTCAAAATTAAATAAAAAAATCTTTAAATACCAAAATGATAATGATGTACATTTAAATGAAAAAAATATCAAGCAACGGTAAAATTATGACAAACACCCTAATAAATATAAGAACTACAATAGTTATAAGTAACATCATATTTATAGGTAATTTATTTTCTTTTTCTATAAAATTCTTTAAGTTTATTTTCTCTAAAATTTTATAAATTTTAAATTAAGCGGGCTTTAGCAGGTTTAACGGGTAGCCCGCGGTTATACCCATTAAACCCGCGGGTTTAACGGTCCGGGCTAAAAAGCCCGCAATTTAAACGATCTTCAATTTTTGAGGCCCGAAGCCCGCACAGATCGCAGGTTAAACGGGTAGCCCGCGGGCCTTAGCCCATATACCCAGCTCTAGTTACAAGTGGTAGTATCTTTTCTAGAGATTTTCAATCATCTGACAATGAACACTCAACTACTCTGCAGTCGCCAGTGCTCGAACTCATTACCTCTAGAAACAAAGATGGACCGAAGAGGGGGTGGGGGCAATGGCTCCCGTGAAATTTTAAAATTACTACATATTTTATATTTTTTTCTATTATTTTCTATTGAAAATATTTTTTTCAACCCCTGAAAATTTATAAGTTCAAGTTCGTCTCCCCTGAAATCTTAAAAGTTCAAATTCATCCCCAACATAAAATCCTATGTCCGTCTTTGTTTAGAAATAACAATCGCTCCTTTAATCACTGGGATAATTTCGTTCGTGCGTAATGATATACTTTTTTTAAAAAAAAAGCATGAAAAACATACATAATGAAGAAAAAGAAAAAAGGGGGAGGTGGGAGAAAGAGATGGAAAATGGAAAATTGACTAAGACGAGACAACCGAGAGAGTGAAACGACACCGTAGATGGGGAGGGGGGAATATACTTTAATTTCCATTAATGAATGTAAATGTAACACAAAATAATAAAAACTTTGGTGTCTCCTTCTCCTCCCCATTCTAAGCTTTGCAACCTATTCCTAGCTTTCCTAAATGTACGATGACCGGGTTTAATCGGTCCATCGAGTCTTGATTCGATTAATATTCAAACAAAATCGGTTTTGAAAAAGATATTATTAAAACGCATGCAGGATACGAATTCGAGTACATGTGGATCCTAATATATATATATATATATATATTGGGAGCATTTCAAAGTCTAGGTTTTTATGTGGATTAATAGACTTAATTCTCCCTATTTAAAAAACCCTAAACATGCAAAAGATTTACTATATTCTAATTCATGAAAAAACCCTAATGTACTGTTCTCAACAGATTACAGAAAAGAAAACCCAAGTTATATATGAAACAAACTACTGGAAGTATCACATAGGTAGTAAAACGTTGCTTACCTTTCTGCTTGGTTCTCTGGAAACTTTGAAGATTTTCTCGGGAAAGTGTGTCGAGTAGTGTGAAAAAGCAATTGAGCTGAACTCAAGATGGTAACGAGATTTAAAGCGTTGGTAATTGTCCAACATTTTCCAATGAAAAGGAATCTGAGGCAGCTCTTTTCTGGGTTTTCAATCTTTTAAATAACAAAAACCTTTCTTAAAAACAGTAGAAAAAACAATTAGTTTATGCAGAAAACAATGGAGAAAGGACCATTAAAAAAAGGGTTTTGTTTGAGATCAGATTGGAGATCTGCTAATACCATTTCTTTATTTATTTTTGTCAGTCCCGATGACAGAGAATATGGGAAATTGTGATCAATTAAACCTCGGGTCAATATTAGGGTTTTTGAGATTTCGGGGTTTAGGGTTTATTTGATAAGTAGATATCGTGATTTTGTCAATATGAGAGTAAATATAAGGTAATATTCGTTCAAAGATAACTCTTGACTTTTTAGCATTGAAAGCTCACATTTTTGATATCTACGATGCTTGAACTCGAGTCCTCAAAGAATAATAACAATTATTTTATTATAGAGATCACTTGATTCGTGCACCCTAACTTAAGCTTGCATATGTCACTGGTTATCACGTTTTTAGTCGATACACCTATTTTGATGTGGACAGGTTGTCGTTGGCCGCCAACAATGACTATGGACGAAACACGAGTTAAATTTTCGATCGAACATTTGATCTCAAAATGTTATGAACCTAAATAATCATAATTTAAAAGAGATCAAACTTAAAATTATTTAAAAAATAAAATATTTGAATTTTTAAAACTTGTGATGATAAATAAAAAATGATTGATTATGTACACAGTTATATGAGATATATTTAATCAATGAAAATAATAAAACTATCCTTAAAAATGTTATTGATAGATTTATTTTTATAGGTATAAAAGAGTGAGATATATAAGGGTAAAAGGAGAA